CATCGATTGCGCGATTGCGCTTCGCTATTGTCACCGTTCTAACGAGGTTTCGGACATTTTACTGCAGTACTCCACCACCCGAGAACAAAATAGTGAACATAACCACCTTTGGTTTCGAAGTCGAGTTTGGAAAACGTTTCGCACTCTCATCTCATTATACACTTCCTACCATGTCATTAGTTGCCGTATGGGACACACTTTCCATTGGATGCCATCATCTATATCACCTGTTAGATAATGGTCGAGTGACTCGAGCGGTAGCCAATAAATCTTCTATTTCTCCTCGTCGTGTGTAAGAGTAGCGCAGTCGGTTCTGCCCGCTTTATGGACCCGTTGAGCACCATACCTTTCTCCGAAGCTTTTCGTGAAGAACTCTGACCATCAAGTCGATGGTCTTCCTGTATGTGTGTTTGACATCCCTAGGAATCCAGCCACTAATGGCTCTTGTCCATCGGTTGTCGTTCATACGCATTATGTGTCCGATCTACCTTATCTTCGACAGTTTGGCGTATAGAACTGCGTCTTTGATTTTTGATCGTTGACGTCGGTCCGTGATTCCGATTTCCTCCTTCATTTGCGTGACACAGGATACTCAAAACATCGCCCTTTTGATTGCGAGTCCCATGACAGTAAATGATCTTCCATCCCACTTATGCAGCGACCAGTTTCCTACGCATGCGTTAAGGTGGGAAGAATAGTGGAGTCGAAAAGGTGGGCACGCATTCGGGTGCTCTTTGTTCTCCTCTCTACATCCTCGCTCTTGAAAGCTTCTCAAACCGCTTTCTTCCTCCTGCTCAACTCTGCTGGTAACTCGCTCATAATTTTGACTTTTTGTCCTAGATGGAAGTAGCTGAAGCATTCGGAGATATTCATTACGTTGAGTACAAATGACCAATTTGTTCTTCAGGAACATCTTTTTTGTGAGGTTTAGTCGAAGACCAGTCTTTCCACAGACTTCGTCAAAGTCGGCAAGCAATCGTTCCGCTTGGCTAATATTTGTTGTTATAAGAACGAAATCACCAGCAAAGCCAAAATAGTGTAATTGCCGATTTCACTCCTATGTTTTTCCATTCCAGTGTTCGCATGACGTTCTCCAGGGTGCCGGTAAATAATTTTGGCCAGGTGGTACCAACTTCTTCATTCCCTCTTTTGACGACGTTCATCGTAGAATAGTATTATCTTGGTTGTAGGATTTTTATGTAGCTCACGAAGAATCTTTGTGTACTGAGCAGGGACTCTCGCTGCTCGGAGCTTCTATGACATCTTCAATGTTAAGCGAGCGAAAACATTCCTTACATCGAGGAATGTGAGACAGAGCGGTTTCTGGTACTCTTGCGATGCTTCAGTGAGTATTGGTAGTGTGTGGCTGTCACCCATCGTACTAAATCCTCTTCGAAACCTTGCCTGCTCACATGGCTGTCTTTCGTCTAGTGTTGTGTCAATCTTGTTTAGGATGACTCGAGTGAAAAGTTTGTAAACGACAATGAGTAAGCAGAATGAGCGGTAGTTGCCGATATCGTGTAGGTCACCGTTCTCGAACAATAGCACGGTTCTGCTAGTTTTCCACTGAGGACGGACCTTGCATTTGGATAGGTAGCGTGTAAAGAACGGATCCAGTGTGTTTATGAGGACTGACGGAAAGTTCTTCAAGTGTTCAGATCTTATTCTGTCCGGATCTAACGCTGCTAAATTTTTCCCCGACGAAATCGTATGTCCCATTTCGAAAGGAAGAACCGGTGATATGGCATATCCATCCTTCTTTACTTCAAATGAGTGGAGGAGGACGTGGCTATTGAAGAGATCTGATTAGTAGTCGTGAGTGGTTTTCTTCATTGCATTTCTGGACGCTGTAACTGTTCCGTTTGGGCGCTGGAGTGCAATCATTTTGGTCTTGTAATTGGCGAATGTTTGGTGGGCTTTGCGAATGCTTTTCCCAGCCTCTGCAGCTTCGACCATTACTGCTGCTCTTCTCTCTTTAAGATCCTCTTTTATCGCCTGTCTGCATTGTTTTGTAAGTTCGGACGTTAGTTCGCGGTTGCCTGTAGCTCGTGCGATTCCACGCTGGCGTATCAGCTCGAGTGTTTCTAGATACAGACGTCTCTTGGTGACTTCCGAACACTCAGCATTCATAGCGCTAACGTGAATATATTGAATGACCCGATAGTATTTCTTGTGGATGTTATCGAGAACAGCATCTTACCTACTGCCGACCAATGAACTGAATAAATCCCAGTGTGTGCTGGTTTTGGGACTTCGTTTTTTGAATTTACCGGCTTTTTTTGCTTTCCACCAGAAAGGAAATCTTACTCGGAGGGTATGATATGATCACGTGTAGAATTTTGGAACAACAGGCACATCGGTTAGGCAAGCTTTCGATTTGCTATGATTTGGTCTGTTTTGTTTTGGTACTCTCCGCTGGGAGGCTTCTACGCTCAGCGTTGAGGGTCGAGCTCCTGGAATTACGCGTTAAGCGGTCATGAATCGTGTTGGTCGACATGATAAACTCAAACAATCGCTCACCCTGTTTGTTACTTTCTAATGCGTGGTTCCCAATTTGACGTTCTTCAGATGTCCTTGGTCTAGTCTTAGCATTAAAATCTCCAATGATGACCTCGAAGAATGTGTGGTCTTCTCTGTAGAATTTCTCCAAGTCCATGCAGACACTTTTCGGACTATCGGCGAACAAGCCGCCAATATGCTGCGTTATTCAACGTCAGCAAACTACATCCGAAAATGACATGTCGGTACGTAGAGAACGAAGATTTTCAAAGCCAGTATGGATCCACATCTCTTCAAGCATGGGATACCCTACTGTGCTAATAACTGGTTCGTCTTATTGTTTGGTAGAAACAAAAAACAGAACCATTTAGAGAGTTGCTCGCCTTTTCGGCGCCTTTCAAATGAGACGACTGTTGAATGGTGAATCGAGTTTTGCTAGAACCCCTTAGGTCGTTTTTGCTGAGGTAGCTTCGACTATCGTCTTCAGATGATCCTGGAGCTATGAATCCCTTCAACATGAAGACTCAGGTCTCCGACTGGACGCTCCGAGGCCCTTCCCTGATCCATACTTCTATAGCAATTCGAATCCCCATCTTTAGTTGAGACCGGCATTTCAACTTACCTAAAATCATTTTAAATTAATTGTTACAAAAAAGAACTAGATGGCAGGTTGTTTAAAAAGGAATAAACTTCGAGCATTGTGGAATTCATGACTACGAAATCCGCAATCATCTCTGCACCGGCCTGCACTTCAGTTGTTGGACTTGGGATTACTTTAACACTTGGAATATTCTGCTGACCCTAGCAGAGAAACTGTAAGAGTTGCAGTATTTATCGCTGAAATGAGCAATTAGGGAATCTAGCAAAAAACTGGGAAAAAAAACCTAGTTGCATGATTGGCGCTACGTGTTTGTGTATGCTAGTCTCGACAGCATGGGATGATGTCCTCTCAGCCGTTTCTCGCATTGATTGGGAACTCCAGGCTCTCGTCAGTTCTGGATTTCGTCCGTTTTTGTTCAGAAATTCACAGAAATCTAAGACGTATTGTGACTGTCAAAGGTCTTTTCCATACCGGACTTCGACTTGGACATCTCCGGAGTCAGTCGGGGAGGTAATTGCCGTGTGATGTTGATGAATCCTCTGTAAAAATGTGTTCTTATTCTTCGATATTCGTATCGATCGCGGCGTTATGGTCGAGTCGACGGTCGAGCGTATCGATTTCCTAACATGTTTGCTCGTGTTCGACGCGTGTTGTCCATCGATCCGACACGATGAGCTGCCGCAGTCGGTTAGTCGGCGGGTCGGTGGTCGGTCCGGCACAGACAAACGTGGTTCGGTCGCGGCCGTTCCATCGCACGCCCCAGCCCAATGTTGCTTGCACTGCTCCGCCGACCATCCCGTGGTCAGCAGCTCTACTTCTGTCAGACGACGCCAGAAGCCTCCAGGGGTGGTCCCCAAGACACGCCAACAACCCCATTTCTTCATCGTTTGCTAATCGTTCCATTTTGTTCCATTCCGTTCGTTCCAGTTCGTAATAAGTGCAGTCGTATGAAAGTAGTTGTTTTTAGTAGAAAATCATGAATGTGCACGTTTCTATCTGACATTCTTTCACATTGTGGATCCTATTTCTTGCCAGTTCTAACGTTCAGCTGTTGTTATGGTTTCTAACGTGTTAATATCTCTAGTCTCTAGTCTTCAGGGCTTCCGTAACCCCAAAAGTAATCATAGTCTCTATCTGATCGATCCAGATAACCATCAAACTCGTTATAAATGCACCCAGAACCGCTGCGTAGTCATAGGCCAGGAGTCAATACTCGCTCTCTGCTGGCGTCGCGTTCTTATATCATTGGGTACTGTATTGTGTGGTGTCTGTTAATCGCAATATTGCGTACGCTTCTAGGGCCTCTTTACCTTCACGCTTTCCGTAACAAAGTGTGGATGATTTCATCGTGATCTCTGTTCTCCTCCCTTCTCTTCCTTTCTCTTTCCTTCTCTACTCTCCTCTTCTCCTCTTCTTCTCGTCTTTCTCGTCTCTCTCTGTTTTATTTTGTTGGTTTCCTTTAATATTCCTGCAGATGCATATTCTATGTACGAAATCTCGAGCAGAGTGCTGCCAACTTGATTTTGGGTCATTCACGTAGGCACATGTACTGTGTACTTTTATCAGTTACTCATTATTATATTATCGTTGTATTATCACCACGTGTATCATTCATCTGCAACGACAGGGATTGCATGCAGAAAAGCGCTTTCATTCATTATTATGTCACCCAAAAAGTGCTAAATCCTATGCTCTCGTTGGCCACCAGGCAATGCCGCGATTATTCTGTTGATAATGGTGAATTGTAATATATGACAATCAATATTCATGCTATATAAGCGTAGTGGTGTCGTTTATTAAAACGGTAGTTTGTCGAGTTCATAGAATCGTCAGTTGATTTCGTTGAAGGCAGATTTTGGCGGCATCTCTATAATATGTTTTTGTAGTTGGGTCAGACAACATGACCGCATCCGTCGCAAACGCCAACACGGGTACGCCATCGTATTCGATGGCTTCGCTTTATGTCGGTGATCTTCATCCCGACGTCACCGAGTCGATGCTGTTCGAAAAGTTCAGCACCGCAGGTTCTGTGTTGAGCATCCGCGTGTGCCGTGACAACGCTAGCCGTCTTTCCCTTGGTTATGCTTATGTGAACTTCCAGCAACCAACTGATGGTGAGTGTTTATCAAAGTTGACTTGTTGAGTTTTTTTCATGTGTTCTTTGTTGTTTACTGTTGGTATACGTGTGTACAGCAGTGAATGTCGAACGTAGGTGACCTGATAAGGGGTTTTTAAGGTGAACCTATCTATGATCGCGGTTACTCTTCCTGGGAGATGGAATATTCATTGTTTAGGTTTAAGTACTCGTGTTAGCGAGATTTTGTGAGAGTTCTCAGTAAGTTACATGGGCTTCAGCAATTTGGATAGTTATTGGTGTTGTATCGTAGACCACTGTGATTTGATCACGCCAAATTTAGGTCCATTGAGTTTGAGAACATACGCAATAATACAATTTTGAATAAGAATTCTTTACTGAGGACGTTTAATGACATCAATAGAATGAATTAACTGTAAGACACCTACTGATTCGTTTTTTCCCCATTGTCTTTTTAGCAATACTGTATCGTTCTAGCGGAACGCGCCCTGGATACCATGAATTTTGACATCCTGCATGGCAGACCGATGCGGATCATGTGGTCTCAACGTGACCCTGCCGTAAGAAGATCAGGCACGGGAAACATATTTATCAAAAATCTGGACAAAGTCATTGACAATAAGTCTATCTATGACACATTCTCGCTGTTTGGGAACATTCTTTCGTGCAAAGTGAGTTTCATTCCTTTTAGTTATTCTCGTTACTGTTCCTTTTATTCCTCATATTTTGTTTGCACAGGTGGCCGTTGACGATGAAGGTAATAGCAAGGGTTATGGTTTTGTTCATTTCGAAACCGACGAAGCTGCTCAGAATGCAATTAACAAGGTCAATGGTATGCTGCTCGCAGGGAAGAAAGTGTAAGTCTGGTCAGATTTCCTCAGGAAAAAGACTTTGGCTGCCGATATTATTCTGATTAGTTCCAATTGTTGTTGAGCCGCTGGTTATGAATTAATAACCTTTAGCTGGAAAAGAACGCCTTATGGGCTTCCTGGGGGAAGTAGCACCATTTTCTGAAAGAATTCACGGTCACAATGTCATAGATTTTTACGCTCTTCTTGTGTTCTGTTACCACATCTTCGCTTTTTAAAAAAGGAATCAATGAATGGAATATAAATAGCCGCAAGTAGTTGTACCGCTTTCTTGATAGAGCTGCTCGTTTTTACTTGTTTTGATTAGTACGAGTTTTATTTTAAATTGTATCTTTTTAGATATGTGGGAAAATTCCAGCCGCGAAGCCAGAGGATGCGCGAGATGGGGGAGTCCACAAAAAAATTTACTAACGTATTTATCAAAAATTTTGGTGAGAGCCTGGATAAAGAAGGACTTCAGAAGCTTTTTGAACCTTTTGGTCAAATCACGAGTTGTGCTGTCATGACTGATGCCGAGGGCAAATCGAAAGGCTTTGGTTTTGTTGCTTACGAACAGCCAGAGCAAGCCGAGAAGGTTTTTCGTTTTCACTACATTACTTTTTTCATATCGTTAGGCTTCACTCTAAACGTGTCTGTTAGGCCGTGCAAGAAATGAACGACTATGTCATCGAGGGAACTGAGTACAAGCTGGTCGTTTGCCGTGCTCAAAAGAAGAGCGAACGCAATGCCGAACTTAAGCGCAAACATGACCTTCAAAAGGTTAGTTCTTGTTTATAGATAATCTTCTAAAATGATCGGATATAACATGTTGTACGGATCCCAGCACTTCTCTCATTGGCGAGTTTCCTCACATCCATCATCCTACATACGTGTGTGAGTGCCATCTTGGTTCGACCTCCGCCTTGGGATTGTCGTTTCTTTCTTCAGTAAATATCGTTAAGTCCATTTAGCGTCGATTGTTCATGGAATTTTGTGACAACCGACCTAGATCATTCCAAGATCTTCCCCACAGGTGATCCCTGTATTTGTGAATCAAAGAGTACGCCAGATATTTCTGGTTCCAATTTCTCTACTACGGAAGTATAGGAGACTTTAACCTAGGATGGGATTGAATAAGGCCTGTGCGCAGTGAACGCCATATTTATCACTGCGCGCTACTCGCATCAGTTCATATAAGTTCGTATAAAGAACCCTTTTTTGATTTGTGTAGGTAAAGTTCACACGGGGTGTTACTAAAAAAGGTCAATCCATAATCTTATATTTCAGGTCGAACGCATGCAACGTTATCAAGGGGTTAATCTCTATGTGAAGAATTTAGATGATACTGTCGACGATGAGACTCTTCGCAAACACTTTGAGTCTTATGGAAAAATCACATCTTGCAAGGTTTGATATCTCATTTTAATATCTGCTTTGGTCATTTTGTAGTTTTTGTGTTATCTTTGGCAATTGTACTTATTTTTAGGTTTTTTACTCTTAAATACTCAACTATATTCCAGTTTAGATTAGTTTGACCGTCATCTCCGGTGTTTACTTCTAGTTCAAAAACCCGACTTGTCTCTGTATGTCTGTCTCCGTTCCTTTTAGGTGATGACGGATGAGAATGGCCGTTCAAAAGGTTTCGGATTCGTTTGTTTTGAGAAGCCTGACGAAGCTACTAACGCTGTAACTGAGATGAACTCGAAAATGGTGTGTTCAAAGCCACTCTATGTTGCATTAGCACAGCGGAAAGAAGATCGTCGTGCACAATTGGCGTCACAGTACATGCAGAGACTAGCAAGCATGAGGCTCAGCAACAACGTACCTGGCACGATGTATACACCTAGCCAGGGTGGATATTTCGTCTCAAGCACATTGCAGGTATTCCATCTGCATATTTGTTTTCCCTTTTAGTAAAGTGACCAAAGTATCTGTTCACGTCCAATCATATTCAGTTTATTTATGTACTCCACCTTCCCTCTCGTAAATTACCAGTAGTTCAACGCGTATTTTTTTTTCGACAAGCGTAGGATATGTGTTCATGTTTTGGACAAACTCGTGCATAATGTTAGAATTCTGGGTGGATGTAATTGTAACTGTTTATAGTTCTCCCCTGTTTATAGAATCAGCGAGGTTTTGCTCCAAATGCCATGCCTGGAACCGCAATGAGAAGCACGGCGAGAAACTGGCAAACCAATTTCGGTGGACAAAATCCGTATATCGTTCCAGGAGGACCGGTTTTCCAGGTTAGTGTATATGCTCCTCATAGTTTTTGAAAGCTAACTAGTCAGTGAAATTTAATAGGGTCGTGGCCGTGCTGGAGTAGGGACTGACGTGCGCTCTCAGCAGTTTACATCGAGCGCTCTGCAGGCTGGAAATCGTCTTACAGGACAGAGGGCTGTCGCAGCTGGTGTTGCTGGACAAGGCCAGGGCGCTGGTCAGCGCCAGCATCCGGTTAGTAATATGAAGGAATTAGTTCTTTTCATAGTACTACAATTAATTTAGGATCTGAGGTAAATCTTCTAGTTTGTTCACTCGAGTAACCGTGTTGGTTTGTTTTTAATGTAGACCGTTTAGGGCCAGAGACCTCAAGCCACCGGTGGAAAGCAAGGTGCTGCTCCACTGTTTCAACAATACCAACAAAACCAGCAGCAACGACCACATATTAATCAGGGGATAGTGGTTGGAGGACAAGAGCCTCTTACGTCTCATATGCTTGCCCAGGCTGCACCTCAGGTAAGTACAGTGTCAGTGGTGCAAGGCATCTTTTTCTCAAAGTTCATATTATTTTGTGATTTGTAGGTTTATTGCAAAAGAAGAGCCTAGAATAATAAAGATGAAATGGTAAATTTTCTAATACTAGGAAGTGTTATGCTTTGCTAATTGAGTGAACATTAATATTAGGCTAGTAACTATTAACTATTAAAGTAGGCAAGATGTACATAAAATATAAAATAGTACAGTGCATGACTAGAGTAATTTTTTGGTTAGCCCAGTCTACTGAATAGGGAATAACTCGAAAGACCGACTTTCTATGAACCTCGGTATAGATGGTTGATATATTTATTTATGTGATCTTATAAACTGATCTTTTTAAGCCAGCGTAAGTTCCATTTTCTTTTTGGGAGTCCCGAACGTAACATCATGGCTCTGAGGAAGGCGAAGTCGCCGAAACGTCAGCCATCGATCAATAACATCAAAAACGACGACAACGACAACGAAGACCTGTACAAACCTTGCGTCAGCTTAAGAAGATCAGTTTATAAGATCACATAAATAATTGTATAGGGAATGTTCCGTGGTATGGTACTTCACTAGAAGTTCACCCTGCAAGTCGACTTAAGCTTAGATAGGGTTCCATATTTCCATCCAGAAACCAGCTTTAACCTAAACCTGCACCAATCAGCTAGGTAACGAAAAATAACATCTTCTGTTTTGGACAAATTAGACTACTAATTGTCAACATAGTTATGTCTTGTTAAAAAACCGCATAAATCTCGCTGAAGATCTACGTTCGTTGCAGTATCAGTTTATTCGATAGAGTTGGCGGCCAATAAATGAAAGCGCCTCTATGTGCTTTTCGTTATGAGAAATTGATCACCGTCAAGTTAACACTTTATCACTATTTTAGGAACAAAAGCAACTACTCGGAGAGCGCATATATGCTCTGATAGATAGGTTGTATCCCGGTCATAAAGATGCTGGAAAGATTACGGGAATGATGTTGGAAATCGACAACTCGGAGCTAATCATGATGTTGCAAGATATGGATCTGTTTAAGTCAAAGGTCGAGGAAGCATCTTCGGTGCTTCAGTCGGCTGCTAAGATGAACTGAAAAATACGTGCGAAAAAACTGATAGTTCCTGTATAGGGTTGAGTTACTTTCGCCTGTTTTTTGGTTCGCTTTTGTTTCCTAACTCCCTGTTGCTGTAATTTTACTAAGTTTTTTTTCTAACAATATATGTAGATCTTTTGCGTGGTTCCTGTTTTTCTGTTACTCACTGTGAATTTGTTGCCACATGAGATAAATTGTTGCTAGCACCTACGATTAGTAGTAACGACCCTTGCGCACTCACGCCAATTTTTCTTTTATGGAGATTTTCTATGTTTCTATGGGCTAATAACAATGTTTTATATGGAGGACAATTTAAACAATTCTGAATTGGAGAATAACATCAGCAAAGCGTCTGCAGAGACGTATTCGTATCTTCTAGCTACTTCAGAGTTTGCTCTACACAACGGTCTACCAACTTGCTTGGCTTCTGCATGGAGTAGCAGGGCAAACGATGTAAGTATCTTAAGTGGGGGTTTATTTTCACCTATCTAGTCAGTGAGGTAATTTGAGTGAGAGCTAGTAAATACCTCGGTTGTCTCGGACTTGTGCTATAGTTGTTCGAGAGAGGCATGGAAAACGTTTATAGGTGAGTTAAGTGTATCGGGATGCCAATTTGGCTTACAGTTAATGGAAGATTATGTGTTAACTACCTATATTATGATATAAGATCTCGACACGCAAAGTTCTATAAGTCGTTGAAATTGGGAGGTAGCTTCAATTTTTCTCGCATGATACCTCATGCAACTTCGTAAGATTTGCGAACGTGGTCCATCACATGGGTCAATTTTCGAGGCCATCTTTGCGGCAGAGTAGCTCAGGACCCTTTATTTTCGTCTAGATGGTTGTAAGCTACTGATTGAATCGATATGGACACCATCTGTACGCATGGAAATGCGCCGTGGTAGGAACAGATCGTGTTGTACGACAAATATGGCCAACTCTTATGCACAAACAGAAAGGAAATTCCCTGGGCTTCGTCTTGTCGAGACTTATTGCTTTAAACGGCATTCAATTCCCAGACTGTCTGTTAAGGGAACTTGGTGACACGTCGGATCGGCCGGTGACCACTGATATAGGGGAAGTCAGTAATCGCTGCGTAGGATTAGAAACAATCAAGACACTCATAGTTGTGGTGGGTCAGGTGACAGAAACACTTAGTGACGCATTGATTTAAATGCAGCTTTTTTTCCGGAACACTATTTCACCGCATGCTTCTTGCTAGACCTTCCAACCGCTAGCGTCTCATCAACCACAGATGTGTCGTGCAAGATTAGGGAAAAAACTGTGCCTTTCACTGTATAGTTTACAAAAAGACAGTTTCTTGGAGAAATCTGCTTGTTCCAATGAGTTTCGCGGCTAGACCTTTGAGGGTTGCGTGTTCATCAAAATGAACTGTACCTTTGAAAACATTACAGCTCCTAGATTCTTACTATTCACTGGTGTTTGGACTTCTATGCTTGTAAAGTTTGTTCAGCAACTTTGATTTTTTACAATTTCCAGTCCTTTAACACATTTTGAATTGGCCTTGTTTACAGTTTGGGTCTCCAAATATAGTTTGGATTTTGTTAATATTCAGATAATGTCCATAGTATCTTTGTAGCATTCCCATTTCTTGTTAATGGAGACTTCTAGAACATAGACAAATAGAGATAAAAGTACTCCATTCGCTTAAGCTAAACTGATACCTACTTGGATTGTGAACTCATTTGTGGAAATGTGCAATTGTCGCAGTAGTTCCTGCTTGTTCTACCCAACCATACCTGAGTGAGCAAATGCAAAAAAGGCCGTATATATCCTAATGAGACATAAGCTTCTTACATGGGTTTCGATACCGCGCTCAAGGTTCACCTTTCATCCCTCCGATGTTGGCAAATTAGTACCACATCTATCTACGACGATAGCAACGCGGACATCATACATCGGTTGGCCACACTAGTCATTAGGCTAGATATGCATTCAGTTATCTCTAACGATGCTTGATGAATTCGAATGCATGGCATATCCCTCAACGATTGATCAATGCCGAAAGCCTTATCCGTTAACCCTGATCCTGATCCTGATATGGAAATGTTTGTACCAATGGTAATGCAGGACATTCCATATCATTTTCTACTTTTCCTCGAATTTGGGACAGAGAGCACTATCTGGTCGCTTGTGTGAATGAAGAGCTTCTGTGGTTGTAGCTTTCAATGAGCTACTTTCTTGACGAGTTAACCGAAAAGATTAATTGCCATGAGGCTGAGAGGGTTTGATATGCATGTATACATGCCTTTCTTTATTCAGTAAGTATACCATGTGGTTTACCACCAGCACCGTCTATCTCTCTGAACAGCACAAAGGACTCAATTTTACATACGTTTCAGCCTGGTGTTTATCCTTTTCCACTGACAAGTTAGGTGTGTGGGATGTTCTGTTGCAAATTGTCCTGTTCATTGCATGTTGCGTTGTCGATAAAATGGATGTTTATCAACAAATTTTGAAATTTGTCTTGATGCAACTTTGGCGGCAATGGACATTTTCCAAACACCGAACAGGAACACCAGTAATCCTTCAAGCGTGGCACTCTGTCAATTATTGGAAACTGGAAACGGAGACCGATGGAGTTCTTCATGTGTTTAACAATGCTCGGTCAACTTTTTTCTTTCGTCTCTCACAACCACCGGATCTGAGGTGTTATGCATCAGTAATTTGGAAAATTTAGTTTAAAAGTAGGTTTAGCTTATCCAAACACAAACAGTTGACCCACTTAAAACTGATTGTCATCGATAATGAAGTGGCCGTGGGGCCCCATAGTGTTTACAATACACCACACGGGCTTCAGACATATCTACTAGGATATCCTTCGATAAATTATGGGGTAGTAAAGGGAATTTTCCAAGCTAGTATTCCAGAATATAACTCCTTACATATTAGACTGTGTTCTTTCCTTTTGCCGTTGGAGCCACAGTGATGAATTATCGTTATCAAATGGAATGTGATCCAATAATGTGTAATGTGCAAGACAATACTGTTAATACTGTCCGTATCATGGACTTGTTGTTTTCCCCACCAAATTTATTGACTTATTTAAATTATTGACTTGAAACGGTAAGTGCGGAGTTTCGGAACCGATAGTCGGCCAGAGGTTTATTTAACATGCTCGAACGTAGTAAGAGTGGGTCTCCCTATGTGCGATTTCTTCTTGTTCTTTGTTCATCTTCGCCGAATACCCAGGGTTGTATTAGATGGTTTTTGTAATCAGAAAACAATCCATTCGATTTGTTCGTCTTGACACCATGTGTTTTTCATGGTTTGGGTTTTCTCTTGATTTATGCGCCCTGCGGAGAAGAATGCTTAAAAATAATGCAAGGCAAATGAAATTATAAGTCGAACATTAATTCCTCAGCAAACTAATAAAAGAGACTTTGCTTTGTCATTCTATGGGTATGAATTTACGTGTGATATTGTTTATTATATGTTACTATGGCTCACCTACCAACGGTTTACCGCCTCGTCGCGGCTGGGAGGTGCTCCTCGGTGTCGGGCTGCGATGTATAGCGGCAGCGGAAGGATTCATTCCCTTAGCAGGTTCTCCCAATCTGAGCAGTCCGGAGTTTGCATCCAGAAGCTCAGCTAAGAGTAAATCAATACCAGGAACCGTCATCGTGCTGGCACCACATTAGTCGCATGGTGGCAAATTTCCCTCTGATCCTCAAGAGCTGCCACTGCCTGTGGTCGACCTGGAGCAGAGTTTGGGCAGGCTGACCTCAGGATTCCAAGGAACTACAATGGCTAAACCAACAAAATTCCAAGGAGAATATGCCGGAGCACGCACAACCGAGGAGGGGGTGCGTTCAGGTAAGTGAAACAAGTGCTATGGGCATATGAATGCTTCGTTTTGTGTTTTTCTATGGAAGTAATTGTATGCTGTATAACAACCTCGCGATTGCTGAACAAGAAGACGACGCTTTCGTGTTCCAATGCCGAGGTTAATAGAAAGGCGATCCTGGGAACTATGGCCACAATGCAAACACGTTGGTGTCATCATTTGGAAGTGGTTTCACAACTTACTTGACACTTGAACGGCCCGTCCTCACTGGTTGTGTGGACTCCAGCATAATCTCCATTTTTCGGAGATTTGCTGGTTAAGCCATTGTGGTCTCCTGGAATCCCAAAGTCATCTTGGCCGAGGTCTGCCCTGGGTCGTCGTCACCACGCGCAGTCGCAGCTTTTATGTATCAGAGGGTTTTGCGACCATGCGACTTTGATAGGAGGACGGTGGTGGATCCTGGTATTGGCAGGTTGGGAGACTCTGCCAAGGGAATGAACCCCCGTTGTACATCGTAGTCCGACACCCAGGGATACCTCCAAAGGAAGGGTAATGCAGTGATATTGATGCCGTTCACTACGAGCACGGCGATGCTTCGACTCAGCTCCTGTTCCACCGGAGCTGTTCTATCCTTCTCAATCCCACCCCACCGCCGAGTCGTCGTCGTCGTCGCCAAGGGACAAACAGTTGGTTCGAGTTGTTCGGTAAATTTTTATTTCAGGTGGAAGGCCCTAGTACGTCTATATGAGTATGAGGATTCGAAGGAGAATGAATTCGACCACCATTCAGTGACATTCAAAAGAAGACTAAAAGTCCTTACAGTATCAACCGGACTCACAAGCAAAAAGTTCGAAGACCTTCTTGGATGGTGGATCCCAGGAAGCGAATCGAATGAAAGAGGTTCTGGAATCCATATAATAGGATGTGATATCATGTTGTATAAAAAGAAATTTAAGTGTGAATAGAGTTTTTGATCGTATCTTTTCTCCGTCAACTTTCAATGACTTGTCAAATTATACAAAAGTTGTCAAGTGACGAAATAAACCATCAGAAAGGAAATAAGCGCTATAGAGAGTAGTCATACCTATTACTGGAAATCGTCAGAAGAAATTGTAGAGTTCGGCTTTGTCGACTTGAGAAGTATAGCAGAAATGAAATCCATTACTGGAGAATGTGATTGACACGAAGAATT